TCAATAATTATCCTAATTATATTTTAAATATATTTAAAATGAGAATTTTATAATGTATTTGATTATATTTATCTACAGTTAGTTATACTAATTCAAATATGAGGTTTAATAAGTTGTATTTATACAGAATTTACTTGTAATCTTGAATTTTAAGTAATATGTATGAATAAGCAGTATTTCATGTATAACAGATAATTTTTAAGAGTTTTTGTCAAATATTTTATAATATAGTATATATATATATATGTGTGTGTGTGTGTGTGTGTATGTGTGTGTAATAGATTTTGTTGTATTAGTAGGCTTAACGCTTATCATGAATTTGAACAGTGTTTATTAGTTAGTTTTATAAATTTCAAACATATTAATAAGTTGTACGTGTGAAGTAATAGGTTATAAACAGTGGCGGATCTAGAAATTTATATTATTGGGGCACATTTAAGAGTGTCAAAAAAAATACTGAAACCAAATAACTCATTTAAACCAATAATATTTTGGGTTATTTGGTTTCCGGATTAAACGGTTCAGTTATCGAATAAATATAACTTATTCGGTTTGGTTTTTAATTAATTTTTGACTATTTTGGATAAACCGAGACATCATATTGCCATGTACATATTTCACTTTTCGGTTAAACCAAAGCAAATGAACACACTACACATTAATAATTAGTAGCAAGAAATTAGAGGGGAAGAGGTCGATAACTTAGATTCAGTTAGAAAGAGATCAAATAGCAAAAGACCAATAAATCAAAAATAAAAGACAAACTAGTAGCAAATCTTAAATCGAAATAACAAACCCAAATTAAATAACAAATTAAAGAATCTTAAATTAAATAACAATTAAGAAAGAGAAAATTAATAATTAACAAATAACAATAATTATAAATCTATAAAACAATAAAATGCAAAAAGAAAGTTGGAAAAAAATCAAAATAGTGATTAATCAAATCATTAGCATTATAGCAAATAAAATAACAAAAATAAAATGCTTTTCTAACGATCGAAACTTGGAACTTAATGACGTTTATTTGATCCTTAAAGTAATGACTCATTGAAGTAAGAGTTATAAATAAGATGCATAAATTTAGATTTAGAGCCTTACTTTTAATTGTTGGGGGGCTATTAATAACTTTTGGTTAAAAAAATAAAAACCTACCACTCATGTTTTATTTGAGTGTTTATTGGGGTTAGCTTGTTGGGTGCCTGTGCCCCCTGCCCCTTTAGTGTGCATCCACCACTAGTTATAAATGATGTTTGTTCGAAAGAGATAATGAATTGGGGAGAATGAACACCGCTAATCAGGAATGTTCTAATTTTTTTGGAGACCCTGTTAATCCAAAACTTTTGATTACATTGCATAAATGAGATAACATAGAATATATGTTAAGAACAAAAATGGGCTAAACTTAAAACGATTAACAGTCTAAAATTAAACCTAAACCATTAATAATTTGAATCTAAAACCAAACAATTAATGGTTTGAACCTCAATAATTTCGACTATAGTTTTACACAGGTTAATAAAAATACCCTAAACACATATAAATATGTGCCCCAAAATTTCGGGGGCCCTGTTCAAAATCTCACATTTAAAATGCTAAGGGACGACCCTGTCGCTAACATTCCTTATTACTAGTGTAGGATAGGGTGAACATAGGCGAGTACCCCGTCCTATTTGACAGGAACCCGGACCGATGGTTCTTGAGATATTGGAACCGGAATTGGAACCGGTTAGAGCAGTTCTTGAATTTTTGGAACCGGAACCAGAACTGCCGGGAACCAGTTCCGATTCCGGGTACACGCTTCCTAAAATATTAAAATTTTGTTGTTTAGAAATAAAAAGTAAAACATAGCCAAAACCATAAATAAATAAACAAGAATACAAATTATACGGAATAATGGTTACAAATATTGTTTAACGATGACAAACCATAATAGACTAATAGGAAATGTTGAAAGTTTAACGATTACATATTACGAATCAAATTAAACACACAATTTGAAAAAATACGAATTATTTTATTTCAAATTCTGAATCTCGTTTCAACTTTTTGCATACCCATCGCATCCTCAACCAAGTAGGGTACATGTGAATAATTGAGTGTTAAAAAAAACTACACAAACTCGTAAAAAAACTGCACATATTTTTAACTAAAAACTGCACATATTTTTAACTTTCAAAATCGTCAAATTGAACATTCAAAAAAAAATCCAAATTACCATGATAAAAATTGTTTTTTACTAATGCAAAAAAATCAATTTAATAGAAAAAAAAATTGATGCAATTGGTTAGATATAAAAATCTTGAATGTGATATTTAATATTTATTTTTTATTGCATCAATTATTTTTTTCTATTAAATTGATTTTTTTGCATTAGTAAAAAATAATTTTTATCGTGGTAATTTGGATTTTTTTTAAATGTTCAATTTAATATCTGAATTAAAAAAAACGAGATTTGAAATGAAAAATAGATTTTATTGCATTAATTTTTGAAAAAAATAACGAATTTTAGTTATTTTTCTATAATTATTTTGCAAATTGGTTCCTCAAAATAGGAATCAGGTGCAAGTTGGTTCCCCAAAATGACGATTTGAAAGTTGGTTCCCCAAAATAGGAATTAGGTGAAAGTTGGTTCCATTTTGGTGCAATTTTCCAAAAAAAAAAAACTACACAAACTTTGTATAAATAACTGCATACATTTTATAAAAAACTGCATATATTTTTAACATAAAACTATACAAATTACATAAAAAAACTGCACAAATTACATAATTTTTTTTCACAAATTATATAAAAAAATTAATTACTTTTAGTTAAAAAATACCGGGTACCTGCCGATTCCAGTTCAGGGTACCCAGTACCGGAACCGGTCCCGACGGGTAACGGTTCTGAAAAAAACTGAGAACCAGAACCATTCTCAATCAGTTTCATGATTTAGGAACCGGAACCAAAACCACTTATATTGGTTTCGGTTCTGAAACCGACAGTTTCAGAGCAGTTCCGATACCGCAAGTGAATACCCGGTTCCGCTGCTCACCCCTAATTTAAGATCACTTCTTTTTCTGAAGATGACACATAAAATATTCTTCAACATAGTAAAAGTATTATATTTATATATCGTCATGTGAATATACCTGCTTTTTTAATTTTAAACTAAACGGATTTCATTTTCATGTATAGACCTAATTTATATTTAATTCCATTTTGTAATATAGTATATAGATACTATAAGATAATAAATTATAATATCTTATAATTTAAAAATAATTATAATGAAAAATAAAGCCAAAAATAAGGGTTGAGGGGTCGACATCACCCACTTTTAAACCTGGATCCGGTTCCATCCGTCCATTTTACGTTCTCTTTAGCAAATTTGCTATTATAAATTTATTATTTTTCCAAAAGTGTTTTTTTTTCAATTTTTTTTAATAATTTCTTTATATTTATATTTTATTCAAAATTAAAAACATTATCATTTTCTTAAAATCACATAAAATATATTATAACATCGATTGAGACAAAAAAGAAAACATTAAAATCGAAATGTATCTCGTTACATTATGTGAATAGAGTAAATAATTAGAAAAAAAGTAAATTACATTTTATGCCCCTATAGTTTGTTAAAAATTAATATTTTCGTCCCTATGATTTAGAAATTATAGTTTTCATCCCTCAAGTTTGTAATTTACTGTTATTTTCGTTCTTTAGCTAATTTTTACTTTTTTAAATACAAGGGTGGTGCCTGATTGGTTTGAACTTGCCTCCAAAGGTCAAAAGTGTCAGGAGGTCCCAGGTTCAAATCCAAGGAGGAACAAAAATCCCCTTGTGGCCACGGAGGTTCAAATGCGGTGACTCAGTGCTACGTGCAAAGCAGATGGTCGTCCTGAGATTAGTAGGTTCTCCTAGCGGGTTGGATATCCAGGTTAATAAAAAAAAAAGATAAATTATAAATCATACAGACGAAAATAACATGATTTACAAACTATAAGGACTAGAGGTGTTCAAAAAAACCGTTGAACCGCTCAAACCTGCCGAACCAGCTCAAACCGGACCGTTTTTACGGTTTGAGCAGTCTAGTGGTTTGGTTTGGTTTGGAAAATAGCAAAATCGGACGGTCTGGTCTACGGTCTGGAATATTTTTTGGGCGGTTTGGATCAAACCGACCGCCAAATGTATGTGTGTGTGTGTATATATATATATATATATATATATATATATATTATTCTATTTAATTATTTATTTTAGTATTAACAAGTCTAACTTTTTTAACTTATAGGCTATGACTCAAATATATCCCTAAACCCAACATAAAACTTAACATATAAAATAATTAAAATGGATATTTAATCTAAAATTATATATATATATATATATATATATATATATATTTAAGTTTAATATTTAAAGTTCATTAAATGTTCAAACCGGCTAAACCGGTCATACCAGACCGCCTTTTCATGATCTGGTTTGACTGGTCTGGGCACTTGATATCAAACCGTTCGATTTGAAAATTTTATAAACCGCCATTACGGTTTGGTTTGTGGTCTAAGGGGTTAAACCGTCCAAACCGGACGGCGAACACCCCTAATAAGGACAAAAGCAATATCTAAACGACAAAGGGCGAATATTGTAATTTTGATCAAACTAGAGGGACGAAAAATGTAATTTACTGTTAGAAAAATGGAAAAGGGTTATTGGGGAATAAAAAACTATTAATAGACGGTGCTGGGATCAAGCAGGCGTAACATTGACACTCTGTTTTCATTTACATGGGTGTAAATATCGTTGTTATATCAGACATCTCACAACCATCTTCTTCTTCTTCAAATCAAATTCAAAATCAAAATCGAATTTTTTTCAAAATCTAAATCGAACCCACAAGAACATTCAAATGTTCAATCGAATCTCGATTTCCGATCTCAATTTCTGAATCTCTAACCCCTAAAAATCCTCCTACCATGTCAACAAAACCATCTACCACAAGAAAAGAAGGCCATGGCCTCCTGCTAGGAAGGTTTGAGATCGGAAAACTTCTTGGCCATGGTAGCTTTGCTAAAGTCTACCTTGCTCGCAACGTGAAAACCAATGAATCCGTCGCCATTAAAGTCATCGACAAAGAGAAAATAATGAAAGGCGGTTTAATCGCTCACATCAAACGCGAGATCTCCATCCTCCGCCGTGTCCGACATCCAAACATCGTACAGCTATTTGAGGTAATGGCAACAAAGACTAAGATCTTTTTCGTTATGGAATACGTTAGAGGCGGTGAATTGTTCAATAAAGTTGCTAAAGGTAGATTAAAGGAAGAAGTTGCTAGAAAGTATTTCCAACAACTGATTTCTGCAGTAGGGTTTTGTCATGCTCGTGGTGTTTTTCATAGAGATTTAAAACCAGAGAATATATTGTTAGATGAGGATGGTGATCTGAAGGTGTCAGATTTTGGTCTTAGTGCTATCTCTGAGCAAATCAGAGGTGATGGTTTGTTCCATACTTTTTGCGGAACTCCGGCATATGTTGCGCCGGAGGTTTTGGGGCGAAAAGGATACGAAGCTGCAAAGGTTGATATTTGGTCTTGTGGAGTGATTTTGTTTGTGTTAATGGCTGGTTACTTACCATTTCATGATCAGAATGTAATGGTCATGTACAAGAAGATTTACAAAGGGGAATTCAGGTGTCCTAGATGGTTTTCCCCAGAATTGACTCGATTGTTAAAACGGCTGCTTGAAACGAATCCAGAAAACCGGATCACTATTCCTGAAATCATGGAAAACAAGTGGTTCAAAAAGGGGTTTAGGCACATTAAGTTCTATTTCGATGATGATAAGTTGTGCAGTGTGAAAGATGGAGAGATTGAAGATGATGGGATTGATTATTCATCTGATCAGTCTTCATATTCCGAATCAGAAAGTGAAACTGAGAATCGGAGGAGGCTAGCGAGCTTACCTAGACCTGCAAGTTTGAATGCTTTTGATCTGATTTCATTCTCTCGTGGCTTTAGTTTATCTGGGTTGTTTGAAGATGGAATGGAGGAATCAAGATTCGTTTCAGGGGCACCAGTTTCTAGCATAATTTCAAAGCTGGAGGAGATTGCCAAAGTGGTTAGCTTTGCAGTGAGAAAGAAGGACTGCAAAGTTAGTTTGGAAGGGACAAGAGAGGGAGTAAAAGGTCCTTTAACAATTGGAGCTGAGATATTCGAATTAACACCTTCATTAAGAGTGGTAGAAGTTAAAAAGAAAGCAGGGGACAAAGGGGAATACGATGACTTCTGTGCACGGGAATTGAGACCCAGATTGCAAGAACTTATGCTAACCGAATCAGGCGAACCTTCAAATTTGCCTTCTGATACAGAATGAAAGATGAACACAAGAGTCGAAAAGGGTACGGTCTTATTCCATTTTCTTAATCGTTTGTAATGGTTTTGTTTGTATGATAATCGATCTTGTTTGTCCTTGGATGTCTTTTCTACGCTTTACTAAAGTGCTAATTGAGTAATTGGTGGTTGGTACCACAAGGCTTGATGAAAGTATCAAATATACGGTTGTACCCTAGTCTTCTTCTTTGGTGACGATAGCGTTTACTCAACCATATGATTGTATACTGTAAATGATCTATAAATTTCATAACGTCCCTTCGATTCCCAATTGTTTCTATGCTATTTCCAGTGGTCTGCTGGCATGTGCAATTAGTTAGTTCTGTTTCTTTATGTCTACCATCATACCTGCTCTAGAAATTGCTCTCCCATGATACAAATTTGAAGTTCTTTAAATCAGATTTAAAGATTGGATAAAGAGTCATTTTGGTGGTTCGAGTACTAATCAATGGTAAGATTGTTTGAAAAATTGCATTTTGAATTCATTCCAGACCGTAGAACGGTCTGTTTTTATATGGGATGTGTTGGATTTTTGCTAAAAGAAGAGGTTTGCCAAGATTGAGACACCAAATTTCTGGGGGGATATAGAAATGGACCAGCATTGTGACCCTTCCTCATTTCTAAAGCTTTCCATGTTCAGTGTTTTGGATATATTTTCGTTTTTTGCCCATGAAATCGATTCGTTTTGTTAGGATTTATGAAAATTTTGTCTTAATCAACCAGACCAACAATCTGATAATTGCAAGAAGAAAATGTTTACTGGTGAGAGCTTTCTTTGTCTAAATGATCAATGAATATGTGTGATTATCTTTGTTCCTTCTATTTGTCTGCTCGCATTGTGACATAAGCGCGGATCTTTATAGGAACCGGCGTTCAAAATCTAGGTCATGTTAGCTTACATCTCACCTCCGAGACCCTGCTTCAGATTTACTGGGTCAGTTTGGATTTTTACCAGGAATATGTGGTAAAGATGGTCTTTGTGCTAGAAGTCAGGTCTGCATACCTACTTTTGAGTAGGATTTACCGGGTAAGTTTGGTTTTTTACCATAAACATTTAAAAAGAGTTTGGGAACATATACAGTGTTTAGTGAGCTAATTTGTTATCTAATTTAGGGCCCGTTTACCAAACGCTTATCCGATTAAGCGCTTATCCGATTAAGCGCTTATCAAGTCACATTACCTTACCGGATGAATATGATAAGGACCAAGAATCTTACCCGGTAAGAGCGAGACAAGGACCAAGAGTCTTACCCGGTAAGTGAGGTCGACGTATCTTACTACGGTAAGCGTTTACCGGGTAAATTGTTGCATACGATGTCGTTTTGGTGGACTAAAATCTTACCCGATAAGTAAATGATAGTGTTAAATTTTACCCGTAAGCATTTACCGGGTAAGTGTTTGGTAAACGACCCCTTAGCTTCAATATGCCATCAAAATTTCTGCAGATATATTAAGTTTGGAGTTCCCAGAATAATTTGAATTTGTTATTCGTAATCTTGTTTGTTTTATGTACATTTAAAGTCAAAGAAAGGATAGAAGTGGTAGGTTTCCACAACCTACCATGGTGGGTGGGTGACTTGCCAATGAAACCTGGCATTCAATGGGCATGTGCCGTTTAATCTTTCCTCCTATCGTTTTCACGTTTTTTTCCTAATTTTGTGTCGTTTTTCGTGGTTCTTCGATCTTTCGTGGTTGACCATCAAGCCTCGACCAAATTTGCATTTCCACATCCATACGAGGTCTTGCGTGCACGAACCCATGTCTTAGTAAATGAATTGTCGGCGGAACTCGTGTTTGCTTGTTTCATATGAACCCATCCTCATGTTCTCTTTATGTAGGATGGTACAAAACCGATTGGTTTTGATGGTAAAACTTTAGACCGTGCTTCCAACTTGTCAAAAGTCACGGCTATTGGCCAAAGGCCTAAAAGTTTGTGTACCATGTTTGACAATCATATGTTAGCTTATTTTCTTGAGATTATTAAAAGAAACACGTTTGGTAAGCTAAAAACCAACTTCTTGAAAGCTACTATGGATTGCTTATTGGGTTTCTTTTTCCGATTCTTTTACATTAATTATGCTTCTCATATTTACATAAATGCCCTTATATTCACTGCTTAGATCATTTTACACTGTTATTTAGCTTATGAATTAGTTTTTACCAAATGTGACTATTTTATCAGCTAACATATCTGACTACTGTTGGCTTTTCAACTAACAGTTAATTAGCTTAATAATTAACTTGTAAAACATAGCTTATATTGAAGGGACATTAAAAAAATCAAATTGTAGACCTGGTTGTCGCAATGGCAGATTTGGCCGTTGCAATTGTGGACCTGGGTGAAATCTGATAATTTTTGGTCTTTTAGCTGGGTCGGCAAGTTGCGGGCGAAGGACTTGTAGACTAGTGATATTTTGGTAAATCATGGAGAAGAATGGTTAAGAGACTAATTTATGTGAGAGAAATGACTATTTTTACCGATCTTTCAAAATTGAAGTATAATTGGCCTGCTTGTGACCATGTCTGCATATAGATTATAGAATCTTAGTCAGATGTTTGGTCCTCTGCCCATTGGGCAAAAGACAGATTCACGTACATCCTTAACCTCCATAATCTACTTTTTTATAACATTTATCGGGTTTGTTTGCTTTAATTCGATTCAGTTGTTAGCCAAATGTTTGGTCTCTCTACCCCTTGTGTAAGAGACGAGCTGCCTAGATCCTAACCCTTATGTTTTACTTTTGTGTGGGGTTTATAGGGTTTGTGTAGTTTGATTTGGTTTAACTTTTAGTCAAACGTTCGGGTCAGAGATAAGATTTGCATATATCCAAACCCTTATATTCTACTTTTGTGTACGGGGTCTTTTTGATGGGACTTGGTTTGGTTTTTAGTCAGATGTGTCGTCCTCTGCCCTCTGAGCAAAAGACAATACGCTTCTTGAAAAAACTGTTAAATAGTCAACTGGTACATAGACGATGAAAATAATGAATATTAATTTATGTAATTTGATGTTCTATTTTGATTTTTATCTAATAAAAATAATGTATTTTAATTTGTTATTTATTTAAATTATTGTTAGCATCATTATGATGTACTTTGGTTTATTAGCAGTGTACTCGTGAAATAGAGCGCGATCCAATCTCGAGATTTTGAAGTTGAGAATTCGAACCCACAATCTTGTTTCATGATTGGTTATGTTCTCCACCCCTCTCGATTTTACTTAAAAGTTGTGTCCAGTTTTGAGAGAGCAGTGAGCCATCAGTTGGTTATCATTTTTATGGAGTATAATGATGTATTGGAAAGGCTTCAATGTTGATCATGTATCTGAACTTGTCTATCAGTTGATTTAGTAGTTACTTTTATATAGTTTAAATATGAAACTTTAATGAAGTTTGATATCTGAATTTTAAATTTTATTTAATATACTTACATCTAAATATACTTGTGATCTAAAATTTGAAAAATTGATTATCGGCAATCCTAATTGGTCTCATATAAAATCCATCTCCAAGGATATCAATATGAAGAGACAATTTCTTGCCTCACTCGGTGACTAAGACGAGTCGGGAAGAAGGTATTGAACGCGGGGCTTGTCGTGTATTTGGGCAAAAAGTCGCCCCACCCCAGAACCTGTCGATGATAATTATTATCCTTGAATTTAAGATATTATATTTATAAACGGTACCTGATTCTTAATAAGTTGGTAGCAGTTCTTTTTGTCAAATTGAAAATTTATAGTTTTTTTTTTTAAACATATCATTTTAATATTTTTATAAAGACTAGTTTTGATGATATTTTCAAAAGTAGTACTTTTGATAACCAAGTCATCTACTTTTTGTATTTTAATTTATTACAATAGTTTTTTATGCTAAACAGTTAACATGGTCGATTGTGGAAATAACAGTTGGGACCTTGATTTGAAATAACGGTTATTCAATTTCTTCTGAACATTCATTTTCAACTTCTCTTTTATTGAGCCATTTTGTTCAATATGACTTGCGTCATCTTCTTATAGTTAGGTTTGAACATGGTATCAAGAGGACCCCGAATGTCACTAACGCCATTTCCTTTCTTTCCCTTAGCCACAGGGTTAGAATTTTCAACACCCACAACTCTATTTCATCTTCTTGATCAATCATCCTCATCTTCACTGTCAATTGAAAAAATTTCACAGTTCCTTTTCTTCTCCGTCTTTTTATCTTTTTCATTCATACTCGCAAGAACTTTTTTCTTAATTTCGGTAGTTACATTTGGATAACCCGTCAGTTGTCCACCTGAATAAATAAGGTGATGTATTAATCTTGTGATCTCTCCACACATTTGCTTGTCACACAAAGTGCTTCAAATATTCCTCCTCTTGATGGATCTTTCCGAACTCCCCATTTCCATGCCATATCACCATTTATGTATCTTGTACCTGCACTGGATGCAGTTGTAATCGTGGTGTATGGGGTGGGAGAAGCTCTCGAAGAAACACCTTCCATGTAAACAACTTACTGCCCTATAAAAGTATATTGATGCACAAACATAAACAACAAAATGATAACAATTAACAAAGCTAAATCTGAAATTAAATGGTTAAAACAACAAACTAAAATACTGAACAAAGTCAGAAACATAGTTGTTGGACTAAATTAGGGAGTAGGGATAGAAACAGAAACTATACCTGACTGTAACTTGAAAATTGTAAATGTTAGTTTTCAACATTTGAGAGAATCAAACCTAAATAGTAAAATCGAATTAGTAGTAGGAATGGTTTAGAATCGAACAATTGAGAAATACAAGATGAATCGAGCAGGAGCACTTGAGCAGGAAATCTCGTGGAACCGAACAGGAGCACTTGAGTAGGAATCAAGCAGGAATGAACAACTGTGGACTCGATTCTCAATCGAGCATGTCGAGAGTCGGGACTAGAGTTAGAATTGATGAGCACTTTGAGCAGAGCTTTGAACTTGGAACCGATACAAAGCTTGACTTGACTTAATTGTTTCTTTTGTTTATTTAATCGGTTTTATTTTTGTTTGCTGCCTAAATTTGACTCTAAGTAGCCCACACAAAAGCCGAAATAACTAAAAAACTCTGAAACAACAAAAAAAAAAAGCGCTAATCATGGACCGTTATTTGGTATTAAAGTTGTTGTAATTATTGTTGTTGAATTTTATTTAATCTACACATTGTTTTAGTTTTCTAAAAATGTGGTGCTTATGAAGATGTTTGTGATATTTGTAGATCATTTTACATTATTATCTAGTTTATCAACTATTTTTTATTTATTTATCAGATATAACAAATTTATTAGTTAACTTATCACCTAACAATTAATTTATATATTAATAATTAATCGTTAAACAAGCCTAAACTTCATAATTTAAATAAGCAAATTTAATAATTAATTTATCAGTTAATAATTAATTTATACACAGTACAATTCACCTTATCTATATTATATTATAAAGCATTTGACAAAAACTCTTAAAAATCATTTTTTATGCATAAAGTACTGTATATTGATGCATATTACTTAAAATTCAAGATTACAAGTAAATTATGCATAAGTACAACTTATTAAAGTTTCATGTTTGAATTCGTGTAACTAACTGCGAATAAACATAATCAGATAGAGGATGAACATCTCATTTTAAAATATAAAAAATCTAAAATATAATTAGAATAATTATCGAGTTTCAACAAAATAAATAATTATTATCTTTATAAAAAAATTATATTATTAAAACAAATATAAATTACTTCGTTATTGAACCTAAATTAAATTGTAATAAAAAAATTGAATTAAAAAATTACACAAAAATAGAAATTTTAAATAGTTAATTTGATACTAATATCGATATATTTTTGTCAAATTTTTATGATATCTTCAAGTTTATATTTTATTTAAAAATCATCGATTTTTCAAAATCACATAAGACCGTATTATAACATCGACTGAGATAAAGAATAAAATAAAATATTAAAATCATGATATATCTCGCTGCATTGCACGAGTACACTTCTAGTCATTATACAAAACCATTCGCCTAACACAACAAAAAAATTAAAAATAAATGAAATAAAATATATTCAATGGCTTATTAACCGGTACTTCTCTTAAAATGGAAATATGAACTCAAGCATAAAGTTAAGTGAAATGACCATTAAGATATTTTGTATAAAATATCCCCAATTTCACAACTTTAAATTAAATAAATATTATTTTTTATTTAAAAAAAAGCTATTTTGAATTATTTATAGAATCAATAGTTTCAAAAAGGTTTTTATAATTATTAGAGTGAATTATACTCTTGGTCCATCAGCTATGCTTCCTCTTTAATTTTGGCCCTTAAAATGCCAATGAGTTGTGTTCTGATAAGAAACGTAAGAAGAAATCTCCACCATCGGATGTAATTGAATATCAATACTATTGAAATGCACCGAGTCAATTCCATTCTAAAGTGCAATTTATGGGTGGGTGGCGATGGTGGACAATGTGGTGCCCTCAGTAGTGGTGGGTGATGAATGTTCTTGGTTGAGAAAGGAGGAGGCGGGATCAAGAAGGACAAAATGACGAATTTGCCTCTCATGTGAGGGGCACATGCCTCAACATAACGGACATCATTTAACGGTGTTAAGTGTAGGGGTCAATCCATTATATGAAACATTATATAAACCACAAACGTACTTAATGTGATTTATGAACAGAAAAAAAAGGAATATACGACGGACCAAGAGTATAATTCCCTCTAATTATGATATTGCTTACTTTATTTTAAAATAATTGTAGTTGTTAAAATACGCAATAGTGGTGTTCACGGTTTGGTTTGGTGCTTAACCCTTCGAACTATAAACCAATCGGCAGTGGCGAACCGAACGGTTTGGCCAAGTGACCAAACTGGTCAACCTGATCATAAAAAGACGATATGGTCTAACCGGTTTAGACCCCTGGTGCCTGTTATGTTCTTTAAATTAAAAGAACCATCTATCTCCAAAATTAAAACAAATATTGATTTGACAAGATGAAGGACGATTTCAAAATTTTTAATTTTGCAATTATGGGATTTTATCGATTTAGGGAACACAGATAATTGCCAAGTGAAAACTAAAAATCTAATATCTCGGACGAACCTTTTTATTAATTGAACCATAAAAGTTTGCTCTACAACAAGAAAACTAAGAATTTAGTATATATAATTTGGTGGTCGGTTCAATCCAAACCTAAAAAAGCGTTCAAACCATATATCTGACCGGATCGGCCCGATTGAATTTTTTTCAAATCAGACCGGACTGCTAGACCGTCCGAATCAACAAAAAGGGGCTGATTTGACATGATTTAGATCCCTAAAATGTTTTTTTTGCTATGAAGTGAAAATTGTTATAGCCGAAACTCTAATTTAGTCTTTTTTATTGGTTTTCATTTTACATTTACTTTAAATAGTCACTAGTGTGTGGCACTCTACGTTCTCCGGTGATATAATTTGTCTTGTTAGAAAATATGTAATCAAGTTAAAATGAAACGTAAATTTGTAATTGACAATAAATAAAATGCAGTTTATCATAGTGAATATATTGAGGTGTATTATATGTAAATTACTTACATTGATTAATTTCATAAATATGCAGACCAATTTTTTTTAAAGTAAGATTCGTCTATCCAATACAAATTACTTTTTTAGAAAAATCCAATAGATAGATGTTCCTCATTCATGTAAAGTCGGTATATAATGTGATAACTGAATCTTGATTATCACCTCAGGTAATGAATACGTGATTATTTGTTATATATAATTACGTGACAGCATGATAAATTGTTATATTTGATCATGCAAGTATGGGTATTTTATGTATAATTTGAAAAGCATAGGTGTGTGCGCGTGATTAGTCATATGCATAGATATGTATGCATGAGTTTGTATGTATTCATATGCATGAAATGTTATGTATACATGCATGGGGGAGGCATGCATAAT